ATACCCGTCGAAATAAAATCTGAAAGCATTACTTTCATTAAGTATTATTGAGAAGTCAAGCTGTGTGCCGAAGATCAATATGGCAGACGGCGGGTTCGAAAACATAGAATGTCTACTTTCAGACTCGTCCTAGAGGTTCGCTGAAAGAAGCCAAAGATTATCAACTTCCAGACTGTTGCTAAAAACTGAACTAAAATCCGAAAGCATTACTTTCATTAAGTATTATTGAGAAGTCAAGCTGTGTGCCGAAGATCAATATGGCAGACGGCGGGCTCGACAAAAAAAATGTCAATTGGTCTGCTTCGGTGGCAGTGGAAGTCGAACGCACTGTATTGGGAATCAGTGTTCAATATTCAACAATAACCTCACCCCTAATATATATTTTTTGTGCTACTAATTCGTGCCTAGTAGAGGTTATCAGATCCTTCTAGAAGTAGTAGTACTACTACTTGCACGAGATTGCGTGTACTCTTGGTAGGTGTTAAGTGTGTATGAAAATTGAAATTATAAGATTAGAATTATTCGAAGATTACCAAGCGCGTTCACGAGAATTCCGAAGTTCCGACTAGAACCTCATGTAGACCTGGTAGGGATCCTACATGGAGGTTCTCTATTCCGGACTCGTGACATCTCTATTCTTCGTGAGGTATTCTCGAATAGTATCTTAGACCTCTTACGATCATCAACATGATAGATCGTATGATCCATACCTATAAACARTACCTTACGATAGGTACGTAGGAATGGTATGCTCCTTCATTCTTTTCTTGTAAGCTTCGTATCGTACGTATGCTTTCCTTCTTTCTAGTACGTACGTATCCTATCCAGTACATACGTATCCATTGCATTGTCCCACTCAGTGATATCGCTTGCAGTATCACTACTAAACTGTAGCAATCATATCTTCGATATTTTCAACAGGGGGTAGTACTTCCTCTGCAGCTGGTTCTTCAGGAGTGGCGTTGTTTCTTTTGCAAGGAACAAGCTTTCTGATGTTGACTGTTTCACGTACGTTGTCACTTCTTTGCAACACCACAGTTCCGTTAGTGTTGATCTCCACGATGGGGTAAGGACCATGTAGTCTTTGAGACAGCTTATCTGGTTCATAGAATTTCATATAGGCCTGCTGTCCAACCTGGTACTTGAAGGGTATTCGCCTAGCATTTTCTCTCCTAAGGCTCTCATCAATTTGGTGTTGTCTTTTGTCTCTGATAAGTTTCAAATCAGCAATGAGTGGAATRTCMATTACCATATCTCTGTTGAAAACCAAGGCTCCTGGTGATGTCTTCACTGCTGCATTCACTGCACACCTGGTAGCATGCATAGCTGATGCGAGGGCATTGTCAATTAGTTGATCTTCATCAAAGTCAGCTTCATCAAGGGGCTTGCTATGAAGCGTGGCCCGTAGGACATTGGCAATAGTCTGATGCACTCTTTCACAAACTGCATTTGCMTGTGGATTCTTGACAGTAGTTTGGACGCTCTTAATTCCATATTGATTCAGTAACTCTTTGAATGGGGTCCCAATGAATTCTGTACCATTATCGTGGACACATCTGTTGGGACGTGGATATCKTGMYAACCARCAGTTKGARAACTGYTCTGCCACGTGCTCACTTGATTTGTTGTTGATTCTGATGATCTCTARTAGGTTAGTGACTGGATCGATGCAGGTGAGGGCGTTGATCACTAGTTCTGTTTCATCAGGGAGAAGGATTTTCCATGGACCAATCAAATCCACACATACTTCATTCCAAGGGACAAGCTGAGCCTCGCGAGCTGGTAATAATCCATGTCCCTGACCTAGTTGTTTGAATCTGTGACACTTGTCTGGACAGTGATACTGTTTGCACTTTAGGCTGAGTCGTGGAGTATAAAATCGAGCACTGATAGTTTCGTAGAGTCGAGTGCTGCCGCAGTGACCCAATAGGAGATGATACCATCTGAGGGGCATATCCACCAAGCCATCAGGCAAGTAAATCTTCCAATCATTGTTGTTATTCATGGATACTGTGATTAGATCGAAGGTTCCTATCCTCCTCTTGGCATAGCGCTGATCCGTTTCAAGTAACTGTTGACACTCTGGGTCTGTGAGCTGATAAGTGTAAAGGCTTGCATTTGATATTGGATTTTCCATTTCTGATACTGGGGGTAAATTGAGTAAGCACTCGTGTAGTTCGGGTTCCAAGTAGAATATGTCTTCTGGATCCACTTGAGCTGCCAATTCCTTGAAATTCACCATAGTTCCTTTCTTCTTTTCATAAATTTTCTTTTCTTTATCCCCGACCGTGCAC